GTATTTGTAAAAGCTAATATCAAACTTTTGAGACAGGAAGATATCAAGAAGTGGTGGATCATCTTTCAGGGATATTTAATTTTTATTAGAGAATATTGTCTTTCATAAGTGCTGGAAAATAGCACTCTTTTATCAGGGCTCTTAATAGAAGTTTTTAACAGCTGTAGAATCTGTTAACATTCATGTAAACACTTGAAACTAAGAACATCCTGGCACTCAAAGGAACAGAAACACCAGCGCCATACTAATGAAATGCCCAACTGCATATAAGAAAATAATTTAGTAAGAATTGCTTCAAAAGAAAGTTCAGCTCTAAAGTTTTTGTAAAGTATGCAGTGTTTTATAATCAATACTCTTCCAGCCCTTGTAATGACTTCACTTACAGTATTACAAGGTCACTATTAAAATGCCATATTGATCTAAACTCACTTATGTACAGGAATCACATGATACAATACATAAAATAAGAAATCAAGCTTTACTAACTCTGTTTTGTTTTTAAAGTGACCTTATAAATATTACAAAAGATATTGTTTTCCTTGTCCAAATTATATCTGACAGAAAATTGGTTGAAAAAATAGAGTAATTACAGGATGAGACAGTAATCCATCTAACTTCATTACATGAAGTTAGAAAACCTCTTAATCCACTGAAGTTGCCCGTATTGTTTTGAAAAAACCTGAAAGTTTGCATTGCTTCCTTAATTTTTGCCACAAGTACTGAAACCGTGGGCAGCAATTCCAGCTTTTCAGGTCGGAACTGCTCTTCACCCCAGAGCAGCCCTTCCAAGACTATGGCAGCGTGCTACCTCATTCCACCAAGAGATCTGATCTCTCCCCCAGCTTTTAAGCTGCTTGGCCCAGATGAGCACTGATGCAGCTGCTAGCACACCTGCTGCCCAAACCACCAGCCATCACAGCAACAGTTCAGCAGAAGGTGCCTCTAGAGTGAAGTTTAATTAGGAAAGCATGTGAAAAGAGCTGCACTTCATCATGAAATGTACACGCTGAAATGCTGAGGTACAAATGCCACAAATGGGCAAACAAAGCCGAATGCTAAAACATGTGTGCAGGCACAGCTGGATCAACAGTGTTGATGTGGTTGAAATTGTGCAGTCCCTGGCTATTATTTTATTCAAGATGAACCATCTCTCAAATTGTATTCATTTCTCAAACTGCTATAGATAAAAACCCAGAGATACTATCTCTAGTCATAAAATACATCGATAATTCTTTTGATAGAAAGTCGTAATTAGTGGCTGCTTTTTAATGAATAACTTAGTCACCACTTCTATACATTTAGTCACCTTCATGAGGTAACAATACAAAAGATTTTTAACATGATTCAGGCTTTCTCAGCAGTACTGGTAAGAATATCCCAGACTTCTTAGCACTTGATGACCTCTGGGTGATGGAGAAAACAAAGAATGCACACTACATACAACCCCAGTGGACAGCCAGCCACTTTAAAAATGCCTATTTTTCTTTCATGCTGGGAAAACACTCTCTTGCCAAAGGAAGGCTTTCCTAGATTAGGTGGGAAGGTCACCTGTCAGGACTGATCTTGTTGCATGCATCTTTGCAGAAGAGGTCACACAAACCTTGAGCATGTTTTGCAGTAACAAAGACCTTCTGCAAGTGCCCCAGCTAACACTCCAGTTCCCTCACAGGTCTTCAGAGATGTTCCTGGAACTCCTACTATTTACACACAACAGGAACTAGTCCTCCACAAATGGCATGAGGCAGATTCACAATTTTTCCTTTAGCTTTACGAAACTTTACTATTGTAAGAAAAGTACTATCCATGTTTAAGATGGTCAGCTACATATGATCAAATATGTATTTTTCAGCACTGACAGCTCCTCTGTGCAACTGTGCTTGTAACTGCTAATTTTTATTGCTCCTCGACTGCTGCCTTCTCTGCAGCTAAAGAAGTTTTGATTTTAAATTGAATGCATTTACATAAACATATTTTGTGCTCATTTTCATATAGCAAAACACTTGAACAATGGTTAGTTACACAGTACTCAAACTGGTCTAAGTTGAGAACTAAAAGCTACCCTTCTCTGAAAGCTGAATGTATGTCCCTGCTGGAGTACAAATATAGCTCCTCATTTGCATCCTCTGATTACTCCAGCCATCCAAGCACATAACTATACAAAAAGCTACCAGCACCCAACTATTTCCTCAATTAATCAGTTTATCAACCATGACTGACACTGTGAGATGCTACTGGCTATACCACCACCCATGTTATCTCAATTGCACAACACTGTACTGTGATGCTCACCAACACATGCTACACAGTTTTGTATCAAAAATCTCAGAGTAGAGATGAAAAAGGTGAAAGAAAACACTTAAAAAATAAAAGCTATACTGCACAAGCCACTTTTGGAATTGTGTTCTCACTGACAGCAGTTCACTCTCATTCCACTGAGTCAAGCAAATGAATTAAGATGTGTACGTATCTCAAAAGGGCAGAAGAAAGCTGACCAGCTTTTAAAGATTTACTTCAAGTACTGGGAAGGGAAAAAAACCCAGAAAACTACATGCAATTAATGAAGCCTAGAAATTAACGCAATAATTAAACAACAAATGGACATAATGATAAAGAATAAATCCTCCTCTCTTCCTGTCCTTCATAAAAGCATAAAAAGACTAGGGTTGTAACCTGAGGATGGTGAACTGTCACTTGCCAGGAAAAACAGCCCTGGTGCAGAGATGTCCTGAGGCAGAGCAGGGGATCAAAGTGAGCAAGGCCAGTTTCTAGAGCTGAGTTAACTGCATTTGACTGAGACAACAGAGATGGAGTAGCAGTAGCAACTGATTTAAACACAACTCCCTATTCCTCCCAGGCTACATTTCCTTGCTTTCACTCTCTGTAAGCTGTGTTTTGGGTTTGGCCAGGAGCGCCGTGTTCATATGTGCAGGCTGCCTGCATCCCTGTCTGATTTCCCTTGCAAGGAGACAAGCCTGGAACGTCATCCAGCTCTCTTGGGGGCCCCTTCCCTCCAGGGCTCTATCCCCTGGTACTCTACCAAGAAGAGGCTGAAGTCTGCTCTCCTGAACTCCACGGTAGTGAGCTTGCTGTACAAGCTCCTTGCTGCCCTAAGTAAGGATCTCAAATTCCATTTCACAGGCACTGTAGCCCAGAATGTCCCTGAGCTTCACATTCCCCACCAGCCCCTCCCTGTCAGAACAAAATCCACCTCTCCTCCTTGGCTCATCTATCCAACCTGTAGAGTAAGTTATCACCAAAGAATTCCAGGAAGCTCCTAACGCAAAAGGTTTATATCTCTCTGCAACGCCCTTTCAACAGACACTTGTGTGTTTGAAGTCCCCCATGAGAATCAGGGCTTGTGACAGCAAGGCCACTCCTGTCTTTCTGTAAAGGGCCACAGCTGCTTGGTCTTCTTGGTCAGACCATCTGTAGCACACCCTCACTATAAAGACACCTGTCCCTTTTGTGCCTTGAATCCTGACACATTAACTCTCGGTCTCATCCATCCCCAGGTGAGGCTCCGTGATCTCCAGCTGGTCACTGACACCAGGGCAACACCACCTCCTCATGTCCCTTGCCTGACCTTCCTAAGGAGCCCATACCTTACCATTTGAGTCACAGGAGTCAACCTACATTTCCATGATGCCAGTGACTGTAGTTCTGCGGGCCTGCACATATCTCTAATTCCTCCTCTTTATTTCCCTGGCTGTGTGTGCATTAGCATAGAGGCATTTGAGCTAGGCCCCAGATCCCTATGAAGCTTTCTGGCTGGAGTATCTGGAATTCCCTGATGTCGTAATTCAAGTGCTCTCCTGCTGACCTGCTTACCCTCTCAGGCTCTAGGCACCTCTTGCTGACTGGAAGAGCATGTCAGCCCACACGTTCTCACCATTAAATCTGATTATATCCCCTTCCCTCAAGTGGATATCAAGTTTAATGCCCTATCAATAAACTCCACAAGCCTTGACAAAGGACCTCCTTGCCCTTTTACAAAGGTGAATCCCATCTGAATTCATCACGTCCAGGACCATGGAGGCCAACCCACTACACAAAAAGAATGAAAATTGTGGCAGTGTGCCACCAGCCCCAGAGTCAGGTATTAAGACTGGGTCCATTTTTTTCAATGTCACTACCTGTACCTAACAAAAGTAGAGGAAAAACAACCTGTGCCCCTGATTACCTCTCCAACCACCCCAGGACCTTGAAGTCTCTTTTGACAGCCTCGTGGCTTTATCACCATGCACATGGAGGACCAACACATAGTATGAGTCCAATGGCTGAACCAGGCTAGGAAGTTTCCTGGTGATGGCCGTAACTCACATCCCAAGGAGGCAGACTTTCCTGTTGGAGAAGGACCTTTGTCCTAATTAACCACTGATTTTCCTATCACATCCAGAGCCTCACACCTACTGCACAAGGCAGCTGGGAGGGTGAGGTGGACAAGAAGGGCTTTTGTCTGTTGTGCCAAGCAAGGACTTGCCTCCTTTCACTCCTTCCTTCTGTCTACTGCCTTCAGCCTGGCAGGGGGAGTTTATGCAACACTCTTGATATGGATTTCTTTCTAGTTTCTGCTCCTGTCTCAGGAAGGCCAGAGCACAGTTCAACTGGTGCATCTCCACCTTGGAGTCCCTGATACTACTTAATCTTTCAATCTCATCTCTTGGAAAATACACTAGGGCATTCACTTAGCTGCACTGCACAGCACCTGCTAAACAGACAGCAAATTAATTTTTACTGAATGCATTTAATAACACTCATTTATTATTTCAGCCTAAGTACTGAGTGGTTAATGCAAAACTAAAGTGAAAAGATTCTACACTTAATTCTAAGGTAACAGAACTGGTACAGAACTCCACTGTTTTACCTCCTTGTTGGTAACCAGGATCCTAACCTAAATTACAAGCAGCTCAAGAGCTTTGCAGAAACCTTTCACTGATATTGCTCACTCATTAAAGCAGTGGAAAATATGGCAAAAGACCAGCTTATGAGACTGTTTTCCCTTCAACTTTGTTTATTGATGTACTGAACATGAAAAAGTACAAAGAATCCAAACACAAAAGAAAACATGTACAACCTCTTAAATACCCAACAGAATATATTCTCTATTCCAACAAATGTGAATTAAGTCATACTATACAACTTCAAATAAATACCAGCCTTATATTTTACTAAGTGCTCTGATAAACACCGTAAAGTGAAGCCCAATTTACATGCCTTCTCATCAATGCCGTTAGTTGCTACAGTAGTATAGGAAAGAAGCATGTAGCTACTATTTCTCCCACATCAGAAAGTTTGTGATTTCTATACTATATACAACTTTTAATGCAGAGGATTAGCTTTAACAATCTAAATGCACCTAAGAATGAAGAAGTACTCAGGAAGCCAATTGATTTTTGAATAGCATTGAGTGGGTCAGCATGAAAACTTGCTTAATCACTTTAGCACGCGCTTCACAGTATATGTACTGTACTATACTGAAAATTTTATAACTACAATTGAAAAGAATAAGAACCAAAAACAACTGCAAAGATAGTGTACAACTATGTTATGCATAGAACATTGCTTTTTCTAAGGGGAAGCATATGAGCATCTCAGTTTATACAAAAAGCAGGACGTAACTACATAGTTGTCAGTGCATCCTGGTGAAGGCATCAAACCCTCAGCTTTTTTTTTAAAAATTTAATTATAAGCTAGATGCTAATCAGAAAATATTCTGTATTTGTTTTCCTTAAATTTCTTCAATACATGGTAAAGACTTTTTCTATTTCCCCAAATAGTGATTTAAGCATCATACAAAGTTAAACTTCAATAGCATACAGGTATTTATGGTTTTCATATGAAAAATGTAAGGAAATTTGCTCAAAACATATGTTTATACTTGTTTTTTTTTACCACAAACATATTTATAAACAAAAATGTTGCATCACCATAAACAGCTGAAGCTAGACTATCTACAGACAAAAATAGCAACAGATCTGATGCACTGTAAATTCAAGTCCTCAGGACCAAAAAAAAAAAAAAAAAAAGGAAAAGAAGCAGACCTCAAGTAACAATGTTAATGCCATTTACAAAGAAAAAACTTATACAAAAACCTTCAAAATTGAACATCACTTGGCATGTAACTTTTAAAAAAAACTATAATCAAAATTAGCTGAAAGGTTCATAACTTAAGTTCTTATTTACATTACACAAAGCTCAGGTGTTAGCCTTGAACATAACTTTCAAAATACCTCCTAATGCACCCAACTCAGGCCACTTTGGCTGATTTGCTACTGCACAAATCATGCTTGATGTCTTTTCTTAAGACAAAACAATTCTTCAAACAATAGCAAGTACATCACTAAACACCTTGAGCTCTATCTGAAGGGAATTCTTTAGGAAGAACAGATTTTTTTTCCCCCATATCTCAGTGTTTTAAGTTTTCTGCTTGCTCTTATATTCTTTTTTTAAATTTTCATTTGCTTCAAAATCACAAATTAAAGTGAGCCACCTATCACTTAATAACCAGGATGATCAATGACTCCACTGATGATTACAAAAAATGAAACCAACAGTGCATCCCATTGACTTTACTTCTTAATACAAAGGTCTCAAAAGTAGTTCTACATCACAAATCTTTCTAAATTTTTTCCCAACAATTGCAAATTTCCTGGTAAGTTGTAAAAGCTCACTAGTTGTCATACGAAGAGATTTCTCAAAGTATTCAAGTCAAAATATTTGTTCCAGGACCAGTAAAAAGTTTCTCCAAATTTTTTATTTTTTTATAAAAATAGATGCTTTTTTAAACCCACATCAAAGAGGCTCTTATCTCTTTGGCAAGGTACTGCTTTACGAAAAGTTCTCCAGTATTCTTACAATAAGCTTTTATAATGTGTTCCCGCTCCCCAACCCAAATGAAGATGATGAAATAAATACTGCTTATAACATTATAAATAAAATGTAAACGTCAGATACTTTTCTTGAACAACAAAACAATATTGCATTACAATGTAAATTAAACACAAAGTAAATCAAGAAATGACAAAAAAAATAAAGTATTACACAAAGCCTCGATATTTACTCATAGATTAAAGGCAGTCATGTATAAAGAAAAAAAACTTCTTCCATTAGCTGAAACATTTTAAAAGGTCCGCCTTCTTCAAAGAAGGCAATAGAATACGCATTGTGACAGGTAAAAACCCTGTACCTCTTGTCAATATTCAAACACAAAAGATAGTTAAGAAGTTCTAATTCAGATAGTAGCAATAAAAAAATCTCACATATTCTTAGGATGCTAAGTAGTCATTTTATCCCCATTTCCACACTGGTATACAACAAAGGCATTTACTAATGCATAAAGCTTCCTGTAAATCGCCTTTGTTGTATAGTTTTCATGTATTAATGCACTGAGAATAACTGGTTAGGCTTTGTGCGTTTTGTTTGTTTTGAAGGAGACCTGCAGTACTCTGTCACCAAGGCGGTATCCGTTCAGGCTGGCTATTGCCATAGCTGCCTCATCGTAGTTTGTCATAGTCACAAATCCAAAACCTTTGCACTTGTTGGTGTTAAAGTCACGGATGACCTTCACATTGGTCACTGCTCCAAAGGGTCCAAACATTTGCCAGAGGATACTCTCATCAGCATCAGGGGCCAAGTTGTACACAAAAATGCACCACCCAGTTCCTGCATGTCCAGGGATATTAATTCCGGCCAAACTGGTCATTCCATCAATGGTCATTGGAGGAAACCTACTAAAGAATGAGGGAAAGCAAAACAGAATCATCAGATAGCTGTTCACACAAAACCCCAGCAAAGAAATGTCAAAATAAAAGTAGAGAATGATACAGAGCTTTTCACAGAATGAACATGTTGCTCAGACTAGAAAGATAAGATCAAAAATATTTTTTGCCCCCTAACTGCGCAAATACTATGTAAAAAAATTATACACAAGTAGGGAGAACAGTGCTAGGTATGTCTGAAATGATGTAACAGAAAACCAAAAGGAAAGCATGCTATAAAACCAGTGAGGATTAGCAAGTCATTGGAAACAGGAATTCCATGGAACTGCTACAAAAGGCTTGTCTATTTCATGCAAAATGCATCAAAATTAACAATCTCAGCTGAAGTCTCAACATGCAAAAATCCAACATAAGTCTTACTGAAAAGTAAGAGTTTGCAAAATACTTCAAAATAATTTGGTTGTTATGAACCAACTCATCCTTTATTACCTCTTTACTCCATAAGCTATGTTGAGCAGATTGTCCAACCTGCAAAACATTTAGCAACATGTTCAGTCTTCAGACTTTTCCACCCTTTAAGATTAAGGAAACTTAGCATATTACTGTCACATCCATTACACTGTACCAAACCTCATGCAATGTTAAAGTACCACCACTGAAAGAGCCATGGCACCTTATTACATCTGATAGTGAAGACAAAACAGATATTCTCCGCGGAGATGCTTATTGGGAAAGAGGTAGCAGCATCCACCATCTAAACCCCATGCTGCTACAATTCTTGTGTAGTAACCCCAATCATAAGAAGTTCATTTTATGAAGTCCACCATGGCCACAAATTTAGCCTAAATCACATACTGTTACCATAATGTTACAGTCAGTGACCACATTAGTCAAGTTTTCCACATTACTAACCTGGTTGAGAAGAAAACTTTTACTAAGGTTTCTGACATGTTTGCTGACACGACTATCAAGACAGATGCAGTATTTTGGACCACTAGCAACTATTGTAATGTAAACTCAAAAAAAAAGATTTTTCATGTTCCTACTCCTGGCAATTCCAGAATGTTGGGAGGCAGAAGGCTGATTTGGCTGAGCAGGGCTAAGGCAGAAAAAGTAAGTGTAAGGACAGTGGAGGCAAAATCAGGTGGATATAGAAAGAATACAGAGCTATTGCTTGCCACTGGAGGGGAAAAAAATTGTGTGGCCAAAGCTCAACAGGAGTTGAAGCTTGCCAGCAATGTGGGGGACAACAAGTTTTTAAAAATGTCAGTCTCAAAGAGCAGTCCAAAAATAACATGAGCTTGTTACAGAATGAAAATGGTCACCCCACAAACAGGGACACAAACAAGGCAGAGAAGTTTAATTCTTTCTTTGCCTTCATCTTTAATGTTGATGATGGGCTAAGAGGGACCCAGTGTCTTGGGCTGTGAGAATGGTGAACAACCCTGAACTTGTGTGGGATCTCCTGTTCCAACTGAGTGCCTACAGATTTATGGGACTGGATGGGATTCATCCAAGAACACTCAAAGAACTGGCCAATGTCTTTGTGAGGTCTCTTTCAAGGATTTTTTTCATGATCTTGGGAATGTGGTGTTGACTGGAAGCTGGCTAACACTACCTCCATTTTCAGTAAGGGAAAGAAGGATGACCCTGGAAACTACAGGCCCATCAAGTCTCACTTCAGTGCCTGGTAAAATTATGGAGATTATTATGGGAAGTACAGAAAAACACAATCACAGCCAGCGTGGCTTTAAGAGGGCAAAGTCCTGCTTGTCAAACTTAAATTTCCTTTTATGACAGGATAACTCACCCAGCTGACCAAGGGAAGTCAGCTGATGCAATCTGTTTGGATTTCAGTAAAGCCTTTCATACTGCCTCTCCCAGGATCCTTCTGGACAAAATGTCCAGCACACAGCTGGATAAATGTATCATGGGATGGGTGAGCAACTGGCTCAGGGCTCAGGCACAAAGGTTCACAGTGAATGCGGTGACACCTGACTGGTAACTGACACTACTGGGATTCCACAGGGATTCATTTTAGGCTCAGTGCTCTTTAGCATTTTCATAAATGACTCAAATGCAGGACTTAAAGAACATATACTAAATAAATTTGCCAATGACACTAAGTTGGGAGGACCTGTTGACTCCCTGTAAGGCAGAGGGACTCTGCAGAGACACCTTGACAAATGAGAGGGTTGGGCAATCACCAACTAAATACATGACATTAAAAAGGCCAAGTGTCAGACTCTGCACCTGAGATGGGGCAAACCAAGATGTATAGAGAGACTGGGGAGTGAGACACTGGCAAAGGACCTGCGGCTTCAGGTCAACAGAAAGCTGAACATGAGTCAGCAGTGCCCTGGTACCCAAGGAAGGCCCCCATGTCCTGGGAGGCATCAGGCACAGCATCACAGCCAGGCAAGGGAGGGGATTGTCCTGCTCAGCCCTGCACTGGGGCAGCCTCACCTCCAGTGCTGGGGGCAGGTCTGGGTGCCACAACATAAAGATATAAAGCCATTAGAGTGTTCAAAGGAGGGCCAAGAAAATGATGAAGGGTCTGAAGGGGAAACTGTACGAGGAGCAGCTGAGGTCACCAGGCTTGTTCAGCCTGGGGAGCCTGAAAGGTGGCTGGCCTCCTGACACTCTACATTCCCTTCTGAGGGGAAGAGGAGGGGCAGGCGCCGATCTCTTCTCTGTGGTGACAGTGACAGGACCTGAGGGGATGCCCTGAGGTTGTGTCAAGGGAGTTTAGGTCGGATATTAGGAAAGGGTTCTTCACCCAGTGGGTGGCTGGACACTGGAATAGGATTCCTAGGAAAGTCATCATGTCACCAAGCCTGCTAGGATTCAGGAATTGTATGGACAATGCCCTCAGGCAATGGTGTGACTCTTGGTCCTGTGCAGGGCCAGGAGCTGAATTCAATGATCCTTGTGGGTGCCTTCCAATCCAGGATATCCTATGACGCTATGATTTTACCAGATGAAGTGTTTATACAATATACATATACACATTCTACACATATATATTATTTTCAAGATTTCTCCATGTGGTTCTTGCCTCACCTGCCCCCAATTACAGAATGCCACCACAACTCTAAAGCCCTTCAAATAATCTAGCCAATATCTGAAATATGCAGTGCATACCACTCCTATTGCTCTTATTCCTGCTTCTTTCAAGAAATGTTCACCCTGAAGAAGCTCTTATAACTTTCTGAAAAATCCCAAATACATGAAGAAGTCTTATTATAGATCAAGACTCAATAAAATACGAGCTTAGGTAAAAAACATACACTTGATTTAGTTTTCCAGAGAGCACTGACTCTGCAGTGAGCTGGGTTTGCAGAATACACTGACAAGAAACTACTGAACTCCTAAAACAGCAGAAAAAGGAGATTAAAAAATACCTGACTACTAGCAGTAGACAGTGTGGATGACTGAGGTCTACTGTCACTGACATGAGTGGTGGAGAGCAAGGTGAAGAGTTCTAGAAACACCACCACTTATAGCTCCTTCTTACAAGGGCTGTCAGATGAGGACTTCATATAGTAATGGTATCACTTGTATGATTTTTCAGTTACCTCAAAGACTTGAAAATACTCTGGAAATATTCTCAGAGACTTTCACTGGAAAATTTTTAAAGATGCTCTAAGTTATACATCTTATAGAAACTGAGGAACAGTTATATAGATCTTCTTTTTAAAGTCTAGCCCAAGTTTTCACTTAATAAGAAAAAAAAGGAAGCATTGTATTGATCCTGTAACTTTTATTATTAAAGCTGAAGAAGTTTTCAGGCCTCTGTCAACTATTAACAGAGATGGGGCAACTGCATCAGGTCATTGCCAGAGTATGTTATTGCCAGAATAAGCTTGTGACACAAACCCTGTGATCTTATTTCACACAATGCACTTGACTCCATCCTGCAATTTCTGCCCCCAGACTTTTCTATATGGCAAGTCTACTGCTATGCAATATTCAGAACACTGTTGTAAGCTATCCCTTTTATTACCTAGGAAATAGTAAGAAGAGCCACAAAAAAGTAAATAAAATTTGTTATCCCCTCTCCCACAGCAAACACCTACTCCTCACACCTGCGAGATGCAGGTAACACCAAAAAGCTGAATAGAAGAAAAAAATTTAAAAATTCTAACAGAAGTGCAGGCCATGAACTCTTGAATATTTAGTATAAGCAAGCCTAGCCAATGCAGTGCATTTGAAATTTGGTATATTTTCTTTGAAGTAAGCTGTCCACTGTTTTTTTTTCTTGAAAAAAAAGATAAAGATACTCTTTGAGTGTATTACTATTTAACACAGCCCAGTCACACTGTTCAGGGGCAGAGAAAAGGGAAGAAAAGATCACAAAAAAAAAATCCAAGGTACTCATGGATGTAGATAATACAGTGTTTGTTTCACTTTGTTCTCACCATCAGTTCTTTTCAATACACTAAATAGCACAGGGAACTATATAGCAATAGTTTCAACATGATGGGAATGTAAGCTCCCAAAAAGCACATGAAAAAAATATGTCAACATCTTCATTATGAGAAGTTGTAACAAGAAAAGACAAAGTATGGCATGGAGAACATAGACACCTAAACAGGAAAAAAACTGAAAGCCAGAATGCAGAGGAAAAATGTAGGGTTAGATGAAGAGGAAGGTGGCTGTGGCATGCCATAAGGCTAAGATAAAAACACTGTATTCTCCTAGGTCAGTATTAACTGAATCAACTTGCACATTAATCAAGAATAACCTAGGAAATGAAAAGTAATCTTTGAAAAAAAATTTAAGTGACTGAGTACAAGAGAGATGTCGCCTTGGTTTAACTAAGTATGCGTATTAGACACCGAAATGCTATCAACAGGATGGCATGCATTTTGGTTTTAGCTGTACCGTGAAGTTCAACATTCGCGTGTTTCCTTCCCACACAGAAGTCAGACAAGCAGGAATGCACAAGAGTGGAGGCAATCAAACAAGCCGTTGGGAACATGCAAGTTTCAGCGCACTTGTGCACATTATTTACTTACCTAAAACGTTGAGCCTGCTGAGCTAGAGGGGCGGGATACCTTCTGTTTGGAGAATGGTACAGCTGGGAAAGAATGGCCTGATTGGTTTTTTGGCTTGGATTGTTAGCAAACTTTACAGTGATAGGCTCTGTGGCACCTGGAGGTTTCTGGCCATTCAAGCCCTTGATAGCTTCTTCGGCTTCAATTCGCTTGTCAAACCGGATAAACCCCACGCCCCGTGACAACCCTGCACAAGGTGAAAAAAGCACACAGTAATGAATTCACAGATTCCAGAATACTGGATATTAACTTTCATTTGTGTGGCCAATTGCTATGTTGATGGTTGAATGCTGTCAACACATGATAACTTTGAGCTTAACAGAACTGATTTCTAGCATAAAGTAAGAATTTCCTACTGTCATTTTGATTTAAATTTTTAATTTAACTGATGTAAGACACATTTGTGTAAAGAGCTTGTGAGTTTGAGGGAAAACAGTGGAAACAAATTTAGTGAGCCAAAGTAGAATTCAGAAACAAAGCAATTTTGTTGGATGGAGATGAACCCAAACCAACTGCACTGTAACCTCTGGTCAGCTCATGCTATTCTGCAGTACCTAAAGTGACAAAATTTCTGAAAATTGCTTAGTTCTCTGCTCTCTACCAGTAAAAAGATAGCTTTTGCTCTCCTGCAGTATCCCCTGAAGCTCTCTTTAGAGCAAATATGCTCAGAGGATGATGATGTGCACATACCATATTGCAGCAATAGGAATTATGGCCATGTTTACCAGCCACTGGTGACCTCTGAGTAAAATACCTGGTTTCAGTCAATCACCATATATCACTAGGTGTTACTTTTGAAGGAAACTTTTCTTGATATACAAAAGTCAAAGGCAACATGCAAAAGAATTCAAAACTGTTTATGGAAGGTCTTAGGAACATCATGCATCAAAAATTCCAAGTGTCTTAGACATAAACATATTGAGCTACATTGGATACTTGAACCAATTAACATTAAAGCTACTAACTGCCAACAACAGTTAGATCAATATTTTGTTGTAATATTTTAAGTGCCATTTAGAGCCCTTTTACATCTTGGTTCATGAATAACCAGATGAGTTAAATATTTGTCCTCAACTGAGAAAGACATTAATAACAAGAAATGTATTCTCTTGATAAACAATGATTTAAGCCATCAAAAGTGACAATGAACAGGCATAAGAAAGCTTTTAAGAGGCAAATGTCACAGCTTCAACTCTGCATTTTTTATCTGTCAGTTTGTGTCACAACCTTATTATTCATACCATTCTGAGCCTACTTCTTCCAAATTACTAAAAAGAAGGAGGCAAGAAAGCTTAAGCCTTAACAACAATCTATATGCCAGAAAGGATGCTGCCAATAGCATGATTTATGAATATGAATAGAATTATAACACATATTAGAAGTTCAATTATATTTACTTACTGGTCCATTTGTTAAATGCCACCTATTTCTATGTATGAATATACAGGCACCTACTGCGAACAGTTATTTATTGCACACAGACTAGGAATCTGTCCCACAAATCTGCTATATCTACAAGTCAGTATTTGGCCTTTAGCTTTCTTTTCCAGGCCTCTCTACACCCTCAACAACTCAACCTATTAAAATACTCTCTACGTATTATGTGTCAACACTGAGATTTCTTTTAACTTAGTGGAAGTCAAAGGAGTACACACAAGTTCCTCTAAAGGTCAGCCAAGACTCAAATACTGGCAAGTGCAAACTTTTCAAAATAAGACAATTAAAAACCTTACGACCTTCTACAGCTGAAAGCTGTTTGCCACCCAAGAGGATATGCAGCTTTGAAAAGGTACAACTATTAAAAAAAAAAAAACAAAACAAACCAGCTTATTCAGGGAATAATTATGTGAGTAAATGACTTCATCTGTCCCACCCCTTAATGCTCTGGAAGGGGGAGAGCTTGGAGAGTTCTCCAAACCTGCTTCTTTGTATGTCATTCAATGTTCCTATCCTGTGCTTGGCTTTTCATTCAATTGTTTTCTGGCAGAAACCTCACAGCAGGTGATTCAGAAAACGATAAAGATGCTCAAGATCAGCCATCTGAGACAGCAAAAAACCACAGACATTACTATCCTGAGTCTGAAGAGTAACCACAAAGCGCCACTGATAACCATTACTTGATTGACACACATACTGTAATTATGTCAATAACCTGCTACATCTTGTACTTTATGGCACGGGTAATCACAGAACTTACCAGCTCCTGAGGAAGTCAAAGTTCATGTGTGTGCCCAAATTTAATGAGTTAGCCTTGAAAACAGTCTTAATAGCAAGTGCCAGTCTGGGGCTTCTGTAATCCTAACCTCAGAGAACCAGCTGTGCATTTCTGCCTACAATTTTCTTTTTAGGAAAAAAAAGCTTAATAGCATTTTGTAAGGGACTGGAAAGCTATTTTCATACAGCAGCTTGGAAAGGAAGATTATGGAAGCTGTAAATTTATTACAAGTCATCAAACAAGCTTCAGACCTGCACCTTCAGGGCGGAAATGACTCAAGCTGGCTCAGTACACTACACAGTCTTTTTTGTCCATGCATGTTTATGAACAATTACAGGCGAAAAAAGCATTTTCTGGCCTACGTACACCTTTTATACATTATAGAGGCAAGACTTGTACTGAAAGGTGAAACATTTCAAACTGTGAGTCTATGAAAGGCCATGCAAAACTGCCTACTTACCAGTGACTTGGTCAACCAGAATACGAGAAGTAATAATACGTCCATATTGGGAAAAGAGCTGTTCCAGTTCTTTCTGGGTCATTGTTTTTGGAAGTCCACTAACATACAAATTTGCATCTCTGATAGAAGCTGAACTTGGGCGTGCATAAGAAACCTTAGAAAAAAAACCCATAAAAATATCCTTGTAAACAAACACTTTAAAAACAGCTAAAATAAGACAGTGTTATCTGTTCTGAGACATGAAAACATCTACAACAGCAGACAACAGTTACTTTGCAGAGCCAGTTCGGTGGGTTTTTTTGTTTGGGTTTTTTTTTTTTTTTGTTTTGGGAGGTTTTTTTTGGGAGCGAGCTTCCAAAACATGGAAGGAATGCAACTTCGACTATACAGGAGCAGCTGACTACAGGAATTCATATATGAAAAGGACTTCCAAATAAATGAGAAAAAGCTAGGTACATATTCCAGCAGGTCTTGGTGGAGAAAGCATATGACTAAAGCGACAAATTTAAGAAGTTCCATGCCCCATGTTCCATGAAGTCTCATCAAAAAGCAGTAAAACACACCAGGAATTAACATTTCAGTGTGATATGTAGGCCAAAGGCACAGAAAGACAGTCTGAAGCACTTAGAGGTTTGCAAGTATTTTTAAAGTCCTGTGTCTTTTGTACATGTCGAGCTTGCTACCAAATGACTCATAATGACAATCATTTATGAGAACAACTCTGCTAGATCACTTTCACAGGCCTGAGAATGAATGGCAGAAGGAGGACTCCAACCTGTATTTTCCCTGCTCAGCAGCTTCTCAATTTCTGCAACAGATGCCTTAAATATAAATGCCATTTATAGGAAATTCTTGGATCCTTTTGGACAGAATGTTTTTACCTGCTGCCTTGACATGTCAGTCAAAATATTTTAAGGTGATTAAGTAGATTCTTTGACCTTTAGACACACGCTACAAAACAGCACTTCCACTACTTCCTACTGAAGTTTGTACAAGTGTGTTACTACAAGAATGATTAGGACAGAACATCTGTGCTTCTCCAACAGGACAAAACATTTCATCTAGGCTTTTCACCTATGTCAAACATAAAAGTAAAAAGGATCCTCAAGAAGTAGTCAGATTTATCTCCTTTCCTTCCCTCCCCCTTCATGTACTGTTAGCCAATACTGGGCAACTGGAACTTGATTCTGTCATTCCTTTTGCCTAATTCTTTGACATTTATTTTCCAATCCTTCCTGTCTCATTTCTGCACAGACCAGCAGACTCTTAAGACTGCTATGGAAGCAAAACAGAAGACAGCATGCTGGAGATGAAATAAGCAGCACCCTGAACACTGCTGCGATCCTTCAAGTTCCACCCAGAGGCTTTGTGCAAGGTACCTTTGTGCTGGTTGAGGAGGACTGACCTCGAAAACTAGCAGCTATCCAGCATGGAACCTTGCAAGTCACACTGCCTTGTTCTTTCCACATGAGAGCCACACAAAAGCTAAAGACCTATGATCAAAGTTACAGGAAAACAGAGTAAAGAGCACCAGCATTCAGCCAATGAAGCAACAAAGACAGTGACAGCTACCCTTTTGGAATGAACAAACTTGTTCTACTTGCCCATTTAGCCCTGAGCTTCTTTAAGAAATAAACTTCCATGCCTCACTAGGCAGGATTTTAAGGAGACTCAAGGCCAAGGAATGGAGACAGACTGCCTGGGGAACAGGACTAGTCCTAGAAAAATCATGAATTACCAAACCCATGCAGACAATGTCTTTCAAGGGGAAATTCACACTGCTGGACACATGCTGCCACATATAAAAATATAAATTTACAAAGAGTCTATCAGAAGAGAAGAAACCTGCACAAAATATTTGCTAATTTACTGCAAGTTTATCTGATGCTACAGAACTGGTACCTGTCAAGATACAAAGCAGCTTTTGCAAAACTCTTTCATTTTCCTCTGGTAAGAGAATATGAGTTCTTGCATTATGACAGCTGGTCCAGTATTACCCATGCCCTCTCTGGTTAAAACAGTTCAAATTGTTTAACATAGCAGTCAAAGCCTACACTGAGTGCAGGTAAATGGAAGCAATACTCTAACCAGTATACCCTAATGTTACATATCCAGTTTCACTGTTATTACCTTCAAGTGACTACTCCAACACACTGAATTTGGGCACACTAGTCACAGTAATAACAAAGATTAAACCAAAATCTGTGGTTCACCACCAATATCTGTACACTATATTTAATCATCTTGCTAAACACCAGAAGTACTGGTCAGGCAAAAAATCTGAAAGAAACATATAACTTCAGAAATACGATGCAATTTAAGTCAGCAGCACTAGTGAAAAACAAGGACACCACAAAACATTACTGGTATAAAATTCCTATTAAAAGAACCTTGCCTAGAGTATAGCCCTCTTCATTTTTGACATCAAAGTCCAGTCACTTCACTTGTGATACACACTTAAAGCAGAGACTCTCCAGACTAATCTCCCTACCTATAATCCTGTCAGTTTGCTCATTCAGTAATTGCTTGCTGATAGCTCTGTATTTAGCCTCTTTAAACAACTTTTATATGGTCCGAATTAAAAACTGTGCCAAGATTTTCATTCCACATCTAATTCAATAGGTGAACATTTCAGTTACATTATGTCAAAACCACTGAACACAAGACAAGTCAAGAAACAGCCTGAAAGCCTGCAGTTTTAAACACTGAATGATGACACACACTTTACAATATCGAACAGCACTACTCTGGAGATACCAATTTAAAAACAGTTTTACAGAAATTTTCCACTGCAGTTAGTAGGAAAGACACTTGTTTCTAGAACTGCAAATATTACACCACTAAATCTAAGTATTTTTACTGCTTTAATACTTAATTTCCTAAGAACAGGATGAGCTGATTCACAATTTTCAAGTGAAAACTGTGAAAGCAGGTTAAAAAAAGAAGTTATCAAAAAATTATATAGAGGCATAGCCCCTACAAGTGAATGCTTCAGTTTTCTTATTATCTGCCACTACCTATAGACACCTCAGTATCATGCTTCAAGCTCTTTTATCTTATTATTAGTAGAGTAGTAGTATTATTAATACAAACACAAACTATTTGTATTCTCTCAAAAACTTATGAATTTAATATAATTTTTTCCTAAACACCTCTACTTAATGTAGTCTTCTAAATCTTTAAATCTGAAATCTCTAAATGCTAAAATCAGTATTTCAGTAAATATTCACATTCACTAGCTCAAGTGCAATCTTTCTGCTTAAAACACAGCTTGTCCTTAAGAGTAGTGTCCAGTTCTTTTAGAATACATGTTTCTGTCGGGGAAAAAAACCTCCAACAAAAAACTACCATCCAGTATGTCCATATGAAAATGAGTTAAAAACCTACCTCCAAAGCAGACAGATTTATATTGAGAAAGGGAGTACATTAGGAACAGGTATGCCTCCTCAGCAAGCATAAACAAGTAAAAACAAGGGCATACTGCTCTTTCTTACAGCAATGTTCTCAGAGGCCATTGTGCCAGGCAAGTGTTCTCAACTTGCACTTAAATTTGTATGCGATACCACGATTCAAGAACTCTTCTTAATCGGATTTCTAGTAAGAAGATGTGGCAGCATTCCACAAAGGTATACTGAGGTCTCAGCTCTCACTAGCCAGTGACAGGTTGTTGCCCGAAACTGGAGAGTACATTGCTGTATATTCATCAAGTCCACCTCCCGTCTCCCCTCAAATAAGAATTGTGTCACTCCAAACAAAATTCCAAGGCCACTTTTCCCAGACTACCTTACTGAACATGCACATGCTGAGTTCATGGTGGAAGCCTGCAGTCGCACACTTCTGTGGACAGTGCAAACTGGAAACCCAGACTGCCCTTTGTAAAGGCAACTTACATCTGCCTCTGTGGAACTAAAACACCTCAACACAGCTCACTTACAAGTGTAGATTAAGCTGATAAACACAACCATATCTCATAAAGGTCCTGATTTTACAGCCTGCTGTACAGTAAGGAATGCATTGAAAAAAAAGACACTGAAGCAACAGTCTTTTAGCATTATCATCAGAGTTTCCCTGTTTTAGTTCACCCCTCAAAGTGTTCCAGCTCTGACAGCTACAACCCATGCCAGAGTCACAGGCCTGAGGTGAGTCATGGGATCCACATCTGTTGCCACTTAGCTGAGGGCATGAATGGACCAACCTGACAAACTGAGACTAAAGACCAGTCTTTATATATTTGAGGGAACTAGGACGAGAAGTCTTCCTCAGGATACATAACCAATTAAGGACAGGACACTGCTCTAAGAGGAAGCCCTCATAAAATGCTGCTGTATGTAGCACAGAGGAAGACCAGAAACCAGGCTTTCAGAAGATTCGGTCTAAAGTGACTTACACCCAAAAATCCACTCAGTTGGAAGCAAATGTATGTATGTATGTGCTAAGAACAGAAACCAGTTGAAAATCCTGCCACTGATTGAAACAGAAGCAGAGGTTTTCCCAGAAGTCTCAAGATACTGCAGCAGTTTTAAATCAGAGTCATAAGCATCTGATAAAAGAAAAACAATTATCAAGTTCACTGCTATAAAACATGATGTGGGAATTATGCACTACATTCACAGAATAGAGATTCTGTTTTGCCCTTAGAAGGACTAGTACAGAAGAGCACTTTAAAACTTGCAGTCTGCAACTATCACTACCTTGCTAAAAATAGGAAATACTCAACTTAGAATTTAGGTACAAATAAAATATATTAACTGAAAGGAAATCAAGTCTCCAAACATTTCCTACTTATCATATTCTTAAGAGTCTCAAAAGACCTTTCCTGTACTTCACATTTGTAATTCTGATCCCTACTCATGCCCAAACAATAAGAGCACAGGAATTTCAGATGCACTAGGAATAAAAAAACCAGTTACCTTTCACGGAGGATAGGAGTACAGAGTGTAATATTAACCCCTGCACATGAATAATATAAACAGGAATAGAATCTTAAACACAAGACCTCAATTATTCTCCTGAAGGAAATGTGTAAACCTTAGGTTATACCTAAGAAGCTTCTACTACTGACAGAGACTCTTGGGCATCTCTTGCACTATTCCACAGACACATCCAGAAATGCACAAAACACATCCATTCAACTTACACTTCACTGGAATATCT